GACTCTAATAAAACAAATTGTGGTGTTAATTGTCCCAGATTCAGTTCAGCAGGTTGCCTGCAAGTAGCAGACTGATTCCAGGTCTGCATCATGTCCTGATTCCAGCACAAGTTATCCATTTTACTTACTTAAATTCCCTTTGCAGTTCCAATGAGACATGCCTCTTCTCTACTTCCTCTCCTAAGTCATTGTGATTACCTCTGCTGATAAAAAGCACCTGTTTCACTTAGTACAATTTACAGGGTAAACAAAAAACCACACACACTCTTTTTCAAAAAGTGAAGTATCTTGGAACAAAAGGTGTTAATATCTTAAAAGTTATTAACCTATGCCCTTCCTGCTCAAAGCAGGAATCCAAATTTGGAGCAAGGCCAATTTATATGACACTGTATGAATATGTGGCTTGTATTTTTATAATCTTTCTTTTTTATGTGCCAACGAGCAGAGCAGGAGGTGACTGGGATGTGGGAGACCAGGGCTAAACTTCCACTCTGCCTAAGGGAATGTGATCCACTGCTTTGCCTTTTACTAGGAGAGTCTCTTTATCCTCTGCTTTCCAACTGTCCTGGGCAGTGGGTGCTCCCAGCCAGCTGTTGCTAAACATTCTACTATTTGTTGGCAGTGGGAAAAGAAAACAAGAGAGTGCCCATGGGAGGCTGGAGAGACATACAGTATTGTAAATAGATAAATAGGTAAGCAGAGTCCAATCAGAGAAATAAATTAATTTAGCATTCAGCTGTAGGTCCCTCCAAGTACACCCCAACTGCTGCAGTAATTGTGCTGAAGCCAAGGGAGCTTCAGGATTTTCTCTCCAACTGCAAAACCTGCTGTGGCACCTCTGAGATCACTTGTTCAGCTCTTTATCTCAACTTCATGACCACTGGTCAGGGAAATATAGCTGCTGCCTGAGGGCAGGTCATGAGAGTTCAGGTCATGCCCCTCTGACCTTCCTCAGTCTTTTTGTGGGATGCTTAGGGCACAGACACTTTTCATAGATACCATGTTTGCAATGGAGTCCCATGTGAACCTGTGCCATTGGTATCCAGCTTCTTCACTATCCCAGAGCAAACTGAGCTGTCCACTGTCCAGCTGTCTGGGCATTACCCAAATCTTGGTGAGTCGCTCCATTGCATTTTGGTGGCTTTTGGAACAGACCCTTCCTGAATTTTGTCTTCAGAGCACCATTGTGAGTTTTGCATTTACAGATGAAACTTAAAGTGGCTGCAAATTAGGACAAATAAAGCTCAGCTTAGAAAGAAGTCCTTGCTACAAAAAAAAAAGAGTCTTTGAGGACACCAGTCTGCCATGTAACAGGCTCATCTACAGCCATACCTCCTGTTTTGTGGATTCTCCAAATATCACAGTTCCTCCAAGAGAATAGTAGACCTAAATCCATCATACTTAAGACATACAATTAGATTAACCCTAATCATATAATTGTGCCTCTGTAAGTAAAGTATCTGTAGATGAACTCCTGTCCATTATAGGAACTGTTTCTTCTGGCATCAGTCATTTGTACTTCCACAACAGGTGCTGCTAAGTATTTCTCAACTAAAAAAAGCCAGATGAATGGGTAAAGTTATGTCACAAGGGATACTGTTATATTTGAAAAACTCTGAGGCAAACAAGATCACCTTGCAGTAAGTTAGAAGTGCTTCCCCTTAGCGAGGTGAGAATTTGCACTAGCTGAGGTAAACAGCAGGGATAAGTTATGGCAGAGATGATCTGCGGGCACTACAGGGCCTGATCCAAACCCCTTTCACGCTCTAGGAGGTTCTTTCTTGCCTTCCACTGGCACAGAAGGAACCAAGTGGATGGGAATTACCATTGTGTCAGTCAGTGCCAAGATCTGCCATGAAAATCTCAAAAAAAAATCTTTTCCAAAAGCCCTGCTACCAAGACCGATAATGAAGAAGATGAAAGCTTACTCATTTTACATTCCTGTGGGTTCCTTCTCTTTACCCACCTCAGACCTGTGAGACCTTCTGATCTGCCTCCTAGACTGTTGTTTTCCATTTTGACTCTCAGGCTAGCATGAGAAAACTTCTCATGGCAGAGCAGTACAACAGATCTGCTGTTCCCACCATCCTTCTGTCTAAATTGCATCACAGCTTCTGAAGCAAGGCCTAGCAGGGTGGATTTTACCCACTGCGGGTAGTTCGTGGAGAACCACTGCATTTAGTCTGCAATTCGTATCTCCTTTACACAGCCAGAGTGTGGAAAGGGATCTGAGCAGAAATTGAAATCAGCCTCCTGGGTGCCACAGCAAACAGGCAAAGTCAGCACACCCCCAGTGACACCCTTGGGATGTAGGCACCTATAGAGAAAATAAATGCCTTAATCACTTAGAGTCTGTCCACAGTATTTATGGAAAGCTGATACCTACAAGCGTTTACAGAATTGCATGAATGGGAAAATGTTTGAACAAGATATTGCTGTGCAGGCAGCCACCATGTGGGACCCAGTCAGCCAGCCTCCTGTATCAGGGTAATAGTACTTTGTCAGTAGTCTTGTCATCTCCGCCTCTGCAAGTGTTCCTCTGCAAGTCTTGCACCTTGGTGAACCACAGGGTCATTTCCAGTCCCTGGCAGTATGCTCTCTGCTGAAGAATGAACAGGGGAATGATTGCATGTGGGAAAATAGTATCCTGAAAGGAGGAACGGGGGGGAAACCCACACCCCTAGCTTTCTCTGGAAGAGCTGGAAAATAGCTGTTTCCTGAGCCCCAGGGTGGGTGCATTAGGGAAAGGAGAGGTCTGAGAGCACTGACTGTGTCGGGCACACTGAAGATGGAGGGCTGAACTCTGACCTGGCATCTTTGGTAGTGATGCTAATGAAAATATTATGTACTGTGGAGCCATGTGTTGAATACAAGACAGAACTGGGCTGGTTCTTTACATCTACCTGGTATATGGGTCACACAAGCGCTTCCTCAAACAAAGATTTGCAGTCAGACTGTGTTCAGGTCAGTTGAAAGCAGATCACAGCTTCCCAAAGGACATCAAAGATAAGATAACAAGCACACACAAAAAAATGCAGTCTGCCTTGAATTCCTCTGGAGGGTCACTGGGGCACTGCAAAGCCAGCTCTGGGTTGAATGAGCTGGTTTGCCTAATCTCCTTCCAGGAAAATATGGTTTTCTCTCCACAAACCTCAGTAATTAGAAAAGGAGAGATGTGTAGAACAGTCTTGTCTCTGGAGCAAGGGTGCAAACATCAACTCTGGATTGACTGTTTATGCATGTGATCTGCTGTGTCTGGGGATCACATGGCTTGACCTGCACCACATTGCAACACAGAAACCGAGAGCGGTGCACAGGGTCAGACCAAAGTTTCTGGGTCATCCTGGTAGTGCATTCCCAAAAGCAGCCAAGGGTGAATGGGGAGTAAGAGAAACCTGGCGAGAAGATAATCCATCTCATCGCCACATTCTCATCTTCTGGCAGACGTGAGGCTTGATGGACTGCCTGAGTTGGAGCTTGCAGCCAAACCTCTGTGCCCTGCAGCACCAGTTAGTCCATCCCCCCAACTCTGGCTGAGTCCTGTTGAAACCTGTTTGTACTGGAGGCCTCCACATTATCTGGTGCCAATGAGTTCCCCGGTTCAATTACGTATGGTATGGAAAAGCATTCTTTTGCGTACATTTTGAATCATTTGCCTGGTAATTTCAAAGGAGCTCCCATTCTGTCCTATCTAATTTTGAGGATGTGTGCCCAGTAGCTAGACCATAGGACTGAATCTCTGAATTAATTCTATTTTCATCTCTGTCATTCTTCTTAAAGAGCAGGTATTATTATTCATTGGGGTGAGTTTCACCTTCAGCCAGCTCAATTAAAATTACCTCAAGCAAATAGTGATCTGGAATTTGGACTGAAATGACATAGTTGAGACTAATGTTCCCTATATACCTGCACAGAACAGGTAAAAACTAAACTAGGCAATAAAGGTAAAAATTCTGTTTTAAATTTCCAATGCCTGCATTGATTTGTGCAACTGAAACTGCTGCCAACATGTTACAAGATAACTTGTCATACAGCAGTAGACCCTATTATATAGCAGAATGCCCATAATTACGGAAAGATAAGACGAGATCCCACATGCAAAGCAAAAATGTGTAATTTCTAAAAACAGTTATTACCTGAGGACTGACTATCTATCTATCTGTCTATCTATCTATCTATCTATCTATCTATCTATCTATCTATCTATCTATCTATCTGATCTATCTATCTATCCATCTATTGTAATTGTGCTATTTCCATTGATGTGTCCCATTTCACTTGTCATTTGCCAGTGAAACAGCACAAAAATCTTGACAAAAATCAGCCAGACGAAAGAGTGCTTAACAACCTGCGTTAGCAGCTGAGAGGGGTTCACAGATATAAAGGTGTTGGTTATATCTCAAGATGAGAAGTGGTAAGTGTCCGCATTAATTATAGTCTTGGGCACATGCTTGTACCGTGCTCACAGCCCAGCGTTAATGGGATTTCCCCCCCTTCTTTCAGAGGCAAAATCCACAAGGAAAGCCAGGCAGCCTTTCTTCAAGAGGTCGTTTGCATCCAGGACGTGTACAAATCTCTTTACATTTATTTAGAAACTAAGGCAATTAAAACACCCCAGGCCCCTCCTATTAACTCAGAAACATCATTATGAAGATGCTTATGCCACAGCGGCTTACTAAGCTCGGTTTACTGGAAAACTGGAAAGCTGCATTTTCAGCCATTTGATCAACAATTTCCCGAGGTTGTTAATGACTTGCAAAAATCTGCCCAACAGTAACAACCTCAGGGAGACCCCGCGTTGTCTCCTCTGAGAACCTCTTTTGTTTTCAGAATGAGAAATTTAATTAGGCAAGGTTTTTTTTGGCAGAGGAGTTCATGCCTTGCGCCCTCAACAAGCAAACCCTGTGTGACTGCCCAGCGCCACCCGGGAGCCTGAGCCTTGGCAGAGCCGAGGACCTACTGGGGCAAAGGAAATGAATCGATTTTAAAGTAGTTCCCACCGCGTTTTCCCCCTGTTAGGCAAGGTAAGCAGCTGAGCTCGTTCCCCTCCTTTTGGAGTTTACCCCTGTGCCAGGCACGGGTTCGTACAGGGGTTTCACGGGTGGGAGGGGGGCGAGGCGGGGGCAGCAGCCAAGAGGTTCGCTGGGGCTGCTCCGGGGTTGGCCAGGAAAGCCAACACACGCAGCCGGGTGGAATTCCCCCCGGCGGGGCGATGTCTGGGAAGGGCGCACGCAAACAAACCCATCCGGGCAGGCACAGAGATAAGGGACTGCCAGGTGCCATCAGCATTCCCCAGGGCTTTCTCAACTTCCAGCGTCCTAAAAAACCCACGCTCACGAGGCACGCTTAGGAATCCCCAAAGACTCTCCATTAAGTCACTAATTGCTGCTAATTATCGTGAGAATGATTTGTGAGTGCCGGTAATGTGCTTGGTGCTAAGGAGACTGGAGAGCAGTGCCAGTCCCCAGCCGGTGGCACTGGCGACTGATGGATGCAAAGATCACAAGCAGCAGCTTTAGCAGCAGGCAGCATTCCCTCGCTGTGGAGCCGTCGCAGGGGTACTGAGCAGGATGTGGGCTTCCTGGGGATCATAGAGTGGGCACCTCCCAATAGGTGAAGTCAGATGGGGAGAGGGTGTACAGGTCACCCAAGAGTCCCCTCATCCGTACTGGAAAGGGTTGTGCTCCAGCTCTTGGAAAAACTAGCTTTTCCACCACGGCCTTGAGGTGGTTTTTTCAGCAGAAACAGAGGAATGTCATGTTTATCTGAAAAATATTAACAGTCTCTCCTCCATGTATGGTCTCATCACAGGAGATCCAAGTGTACAGACAAGTGTAACATTTCTATGATGATTGTTTTTTTTTTTTTTTTTTTTTTTACAGTTGCTACTTCTTCTACATGAAGACCTTTGCTTCATTTTGCTCCGAGTAGAAAACAAGAGTTTCTGCCTGACTGGTTGCACTGCACTCCTCCCTTTCCCTCCTTTGCCAAGATGTGTCTGTAGGCATGCTCCCCAAGTTATTTTAAAGACAGGCTGGCACTAAGGCACTCACAGTCAAAGGAGAGGAAAAAGATGAAGACAGATATTTTCTCTTTGCTGGCAGGGGACAGCAAGCCACTGGAAAAGTGTCCCTTTGGAGGATAAGAGAGACTCTTCCTCTTTGGCTGGCAGAGTAACACACACAGCTCCCAGCTCTCCAAAGGGAAAACAACTGCCTGTAGGTAAGTGCTCCCAGGCTTAGGCACTCCTCAGTCAGCAACTGCCTACCAGTCTCCACCTCCCTAGCTGCTGTTCTTTGGAGAGATTTTTCTTAAAGCAAGTGTTCCCCTGCTCCTTCTCAGCTAAACAAAATGGGCTAAATCTGTGATGGCATCTCCTACAGAGCCCCTTATTTAGTTTGCTGTCAAAATCATTGCATGTATTTTTTTTTGCACAATTTTATTTCACAGCATAAAATTAATAGAGAAGGAGAGTGGAGCTTTAAAAATCAGTTGCAAACAGCATGTTCTGATGTAAATGAACACTCTCCAGCAGCATTTGCAAATCTGTAGTGGAGCCTTGTGCATCAGACTGAAAAGGAAAACAAACCAAGGGCCTGGCTACAGAGGAAAGCCTAGGTTTTCCTGTCTTCTTTTTTTCTCTCTTTTACAATTCAAACTGAAAGGGGGGAAACAGGCTAATAACGTGCAGCTGAAAGCTAAATTAGATATTTAAATTTCAGTCTGTTAAGTTAGGGAAGTAATTGGTGAACCCTCCAAAAAGAATATGCTCAAGGTCCATGGTTCTGAACCCCTCTGTGAGATGCTGGGCTCTGCCCTGTCTCCATCTCCTGTGCAAAACAAGTGCAAGCCAGAGACAGGCATTTCCCACTCAACTTGTGTGGCTGTCAGCACCTGATTAGCAAAAGGGAAACAGGTCAAGATTGTTTTTAGCCTTACAACATCCCTTTAAAGTTTTAACTCCACAACACATTGATAAATGATGAATGTGCACCTGAACAAAATCCAATACAAAATTCCTTTTAAAAATTACATTGAAGTGAATGCAAAACATATATGGGAGTTGGAAGCTGGGTCTCCAACCTGGGTCTCCAGGCTGCTGCCTGTCTGTCAGGGCAGTCCTCTGAGCCATAGAGATTCATCACTCCCTATGGGAAGTCATTCAGAAGGAGAGCTGTGCCTTGCTAGACAACCCCTAATTTTCATATCTGTTATCTGGCCATCACAGCAACAGCCAGAATGAGATTAGGCAGACACATGGATGGATTAGATGGATGCTTTACATTCCTTCTGATGACAAAAAAAGGGCTCTGGGCAGAACACATCACTTGCCCCAAGGGAGGACAGAAAAGGTGACATTTCTGTAATAAGAGAGTAGCTCCACGGAAAAAAAATTAAGTCACCCCCATGAGTAACTCAGCTGGTAGCTTCTCCTTGCCCACTTTGACTCAGTATTTGTAGAAATTTTGCTTTCAATAGCAAAATATTACAAGGCACAAGGCTACAAAGTCAAAATGCTCTGGTTTTACATAAAGCTTTTCGCTGAAGTGTCTTAATAATTTAAACAGATGCTGTAAAGCAACTTGTTGAAGTGTCTCCTAAGCTTGCTGTTGAAAGCCCATCAGACCATATAGAGGACACAAATATTGGGATTGCAGATGACCTAGTGGGGCTTTTCCTACCACTGCCAATGTGGTGGGTTGGCTCTGCCTTTTCACAGGTGCAATACTCTGTTCATGGGGGAAACAGAGAAGCTTTGCCTTGAATCTTGCAGGACAATTTGTTGCCTGAAAGGATCCACCGAGATGCAACAAGCTCTGTTTAGAAACGAACATATCCAGCCTGGAGCATGGGGAGAGAGTAAAGCATCTGTTTGACTTCCTCAACGGGTTTGCTGTGTGTAAATCATTTATCCCTGCTCCTGCTCCCCTTCCTTGACTCTCACAATTTGTATTTTTGTGTTAAAAAAAGTGATGCTTGCCTTTCTGTTGGCGAGCAGCTTGGGACACATTGCCTGGAGTCTGACCTCAAAGTAGGGTGGGATTTGAATCTGAAATCCACTCGGTTTGATCTCACAGGAACTGCTGCGTTGCACAGCTTGTACATCTTTAGTAAAAAGCAAGCCTTCAAATCCATCCTTTTCAGAGGCCTGTCTCTGTTGTCAGCTGCCATCTTTTGAGAGAAAGATCTAAAATTAGAGAAAAGCTGCCCTCCACTGCTGGAGAATACCGCTGCTGTGACATATGAAAGCAGAAATAAGCTTCAAATAAAGGTCTTCTGCTTAGGCTCACGTAACGAGCAAGAAAGGCTTTGGGTCTTTCCTGTCCAGACCAGCATTTGTGGGGATCTGATTTAAATAGGCAGCCACAGCACCAACGCTTATCTTTGTCTGCCTAAGCGTTTATACTTTGCCTGTCATCATAGGTGCCGTTATTTTGATGGAAACCTACAGATCCAAGGGTTTTTCTTTCAAATACCTTTCCTAGAAATCCTGAGGGATGCCAGAAGACCCTACTCTTTTCAATAAATCAGTGAAAAAGAAAGAAACCCTCCGTATGGAAACAGCAGCTTGAGACCTTTCAAATGGGGTGGTTGGGATGAGGTGTGGACACTGAGCAGGGACTGAGCTGTGGCTGCAGCCCTGGAGGCCTCGGGTTAAAATCTATGTCCTTCAGCTCGGCCCCGAGTCTGGGGTACCTCTGGTAAGCACTGCCATATCCTGGCTGACTCCCACTGCTGCCCCTGACACCGTAGTCTCTGTGCTCCACAACCTCTGCGCTCCGCTGCATCCCTCCCGTTAAACAGCGTTTTCCCGCCCTGGAGGGATTAGTGGAGTTTACAGGGTTAGATCTGCTCTAATGTACCGTGGCACAACAGCCCAGGCGCGGTGCCCAGAGGCGGAGAGCCCCGGGGAGACTCCCTCCTGGTGCCGGAGGGGAGAGGAGCTGGTGCCGCACCAGGGCATGCGAATTAAGATGAGGAATGAGTTCAAGCCTCCCACTACCTACGATAAAGCAGGATTTGACTGGGAGTAAGGTAGTGTTATTGTTTCCCTTTTAGTCTGCGCATTTTACAGTGTCCCGAAAGAGGAGACGCCGCTCTAACACAACAAGGGTGTATTGCTGAGACTTGCAGCAAAGAAAACAGAAAACAAACCTCCTCTTTCTTTTCTTCTCTTTTTCTTCCTGCTCCCTCTCCACCCTAGGCATCCAAGGTCCCCGGTCCCCGCTGTGTCATCGCTCAAGCCTGCGCTGCGCTGGTGATGTCATGCCTTAAACTACACACCGATGGCTCCAGCAAGGGTCAGGGGCCCTTCCTGCAGCCCAGGCTGGTCGTGCTCAATCACTCCGGTAGCACTGGCATGCTGTGTCCCACAGAAGCAGGCAGCAGGGGGGAACAAGCAGCTTGCTGTCAAAGAGACATCCCGGGCATTTGGAGAAAGAAAAACTTAGAAACGGCCTCAGCAGTCACCTGGTTGAAAAATAGGTTGTTCAGTAGCTGATTTTAAAAAACACTGGCTGAAGGTGAGTACACTAAGGCCAAGCCCTCACCTGCCAGATGGAGTTCATGGGGAAGGAATCAATATCGGCACCAAGAGAGAGGGAGAAAAATGGGACCAAGGGAAAGGTGCACGTGTGAGGAGGCTTTGCTTTTGCAGGATTAGAGCAGATACCTTCAAAGCTCCTTTCCCACATTGCAAATGCAGGAGAGACTTCTCCCTGTTTTCATCCTCCAGGCTCTCCCTCCAGCGGGGCCCGAGCAGCTCCGGTCCTGTGCACTGGCACCAGAGGCTGTCTGCGGAAGAGGTTCTTATTCAGATCCTCTTCACCACAATGACACGATGGCCAACTTTGTCATGTGCCCGGCAAAAACAGAGGCTTCAGCACAGTGTAAGTGGCTTGCATCCAGGGGCTGAAGTGCCAGCATGTTTTCCAGACCCTTTCAGCTCATGAGAGAGACCGTGACAGGGGAAAACAAAATTAATAACTGGGCTGCAAGTGCAGGTAATGCAGACACACAGTACAGGGATTGTGGAAGGTAGGATCTTGTGGGAGAAGGTACCCGGCAGCTAATGGGGGAGCGGGATTTGGTCACTGGAGTGAAAAGGAACCCATTTTTCTTAGGCAGGAGTGGTAGAAGTTTGACTCCCTGAACAACTAAAGTGTAACCAGGGTGGCTCATTAACCCCTGGCATCAACCCAACACTGGTGTTATTGTTGGTACTGCAAAGGGATTGGATCAGGTTATTAAAGGGCATGTCTAATTGTGTGCAGCCAAAAGTGCATATACTTTTAGTATCAACAACACTTTAGGCCTGATTCGAAAGCCAATGAAACCACTGGGAAAAATCCAGTTATTCCCTTGAGTTTTCTCCTCTGAGACTGGCCTTATGGGAATAGTCCCACAAGAACCCAAGCTGCCAGTGGAACTTGGCTACTTGCATGCTACATAGATGGAAAACCAGGACATATTGCTTAAATATGAGTATTAGTGAGTCCCTGTTGCTTGGTACAATATTACTGCCGTGCATGACCACGGAGGATTTGCTCCAGAGCCTTGCTTCATCCCTCTCTCACCTCTCCTCTCCTCTGTTCATGGAGCTCTGTGTGTCAGAAGCAAAACCTGATTGAAAATAGGTTATTTATTTTAAGCCAAGACATTCGGATCAAGTTCTTATGATGTCCACTGGCTAAAATACCTGATCCTTAATCTCTGCTTAGCCTCTGACTTTGCACTTGACTTAGGAAGAGGGTGTGATCCTGTGCTGCTGGGATGAGTGCTGATGCAGCCCCAGGAGACCACGAGCAAGAAGGTTGGTAGAGCAGGAATAAATGGGGAAATGAGCAGCTGCCTGAAACCCATGGGGCCAAGGCATAACATCTGTTCTCAGGCAGGACCCAGCTGCTGAAAGCAAAGTGTCTCTGTGTGGGCAGTGGGTGTTGGCCTTGCTTGCCGGGCAGCCCATGGGCTTTACGGCATGGGGGCTGCCCTAGATATTGGCCAGCACAGCTGGCTCTCTCCAGGGTTACATTGCCATTTTCAGGTGCTCCTCCAGTTTATGAGTAGAGAAATATGCGTTTCGGTGAAGACCTTTGGGCAGAATTTGGCCACCCTCAAGTGCTGTAGAAAGCTCACTTCCAGGACACCTGCCTCCTGGTTACACCCAAGCCACATGCAGAGCAATGCATCCCACTGGCTTGGTGTCAGTGTCTTTTGATGGCCCCTTTCAACAGCAGCCTGTCTCATCGTCCTGTGCATCCCTCCCATGTCCCTTAACTTGCCCTGGCTTCCCAGAGTGCTTTCCAGCCTGCACAGGGAGATTGAGCTCCAGCAGATTCCTTGGGTGAAGGAGACAGGCAACCCAGCAGAGATTCCCCTACTGCCCCATATGTGTGATTGCTCCCAAGCCATCCCAAAGCACACCCTAGTGAGGAACTGACACCAAAAAGAGAGGCAGAGCTGGCATTACCCTAAAAGCTTGCTTCTGCTGCTTGGAAGGCAGCTCCCTGCCTGGCTCCTCATGTCCATCAGCAGGTTGCCTGGCCTGGAAGCAGCTGAGCCAGGCCTGGGGTGGACAAAGTGTTGTTGCATCCAGGGACTTGCTTCTCCCAGCAGCCCTGCACCTTGAAAGAAAGACTGGACCCTCTGCTGTGCAGCTCCCAAGGAGAAAGCAGGAAAGTGGTCAGTGCAGGGTCAAGCATGTTTTTAAGCTGTTAAAATGCTCCTCTTCTACTTCTATTGTCAGTAAAGAGAACTGGGAAAGCCAAACTCCTCCACATTTGGGGATAGTGGGTCTCTTGGTGCTCATGAACAGCAGGATCAGCAGAAATGAGGTGCCTTTGCTGTGAGGCTGCAGAGCTGGAGCAGTGCCATGGTGGGGTGGGGAGCTCTGGGCATTCAAACAAAAGAAGTGGACACAGTTAAAAGGATTTTCTGATATTTGTTTAGCTTGGCTGCTACACTTTGCTGAAGAAAAGGAAGGTTTTTGCTAAAGTTGAAACAAACAGTAGATCAGAACATTAAATAAAGGGTTAGCAAACCTGCCAGTAGCGCTAAGTCAGGTATGCTGATGAGGTCAAAATTTAATTCCACACTGAAATTGGAAATTTCAAGTACAAGTGTTCACAGCAAGCCAGATTACATTACCTATCAAATGTCCAGGTGCTCTGAGGAGTCTCCTCCATTGTCATTTGTCCAATCAGTATTTACAATAGTAAAATCCACTGTGGAAACGGAGACAGGAGATCAACTTTTTAGTCTATATAGGGCAGACACAGACTGGAAAGCTGGAAGCTGTCCAGCCTAACGTGGGGCCTATTGTAGACTGACAAGACCTGCAGTGCCATTTAAGCATCTTCCTCTGATCTTCCCCCCAGTCCCTGTCCACCCCCTCAGCTCCCCCATTAAATTGTACTAAGAGTAATTGAAAAGTGCTAGTTCAGTGAGATCAAGAGAAGAGGGCTGGAAAGATAAGGAGAGTGCACCTAGGAGGATTGTGGCTCATGGAGGGATGTTCAGCAGGTAGGTTGACTGGGGTGCTGGCAGGGAGATGCACAAAACTGCCAGTGCTGTGATATCAGGCCTCTGCTCAGTGCAACATATTAGCTCAGGCCAAAAAAATAAGCAGTTGTCATGGTTTGAGAGCCCCAAAAATTCAATTCCCTAGTCCAAGCCCCCCCAACCATGACAGCAGTATAATGGAGTAATGTTGCTTCTGCTCCAACAGCATCCTGTGGATCCACCTGAGGATCTCCTGAGCATTTGGTGGAAACAGAGGTGTTCATCTTCTCATTACTCCTGTGGCAAAATGAGCAACACGAGTAACTCCTTGCAGGGGTGAGTAAGAGGTGCACAGCCTAGGTTGTGTGTTCCTTGCTCAACATTGTACTGTCCATCTGCAGAAAAGCCAGGAGCAGATCTGGTGATACACAACATCCGAGTTTGTGACTTAAGAGTAGTAATTATCATAATTAAGCAGTGGTCTCAAAATACTCCCTGGGTTACGAATGCTTCTGTGCTCAAGTAAACTCCCATTTACCTAACGGAGCAAGGGCACAGCAATTTTGCCCCAGAAGGTTTTGTATGGCATATT